CAACATCCAGTACAGCATATACCACCGGCAACTGGACCACTGTTAACTGTTTTTGTTGTTATTAATAAAATAACACATATTAAAAATGCTGTTTTCATATTGTTGTTGTTGTTGTATCTATAAATGAGAGAATTTTCTCTTTGACAAATATAATCAATTGATGTTCAAGACTTACCTTCTTGTCTCAATTAAGACGTTAGGTGAGAAAGATCGTAGTTTACTAAAAACCTGTTACTGAGGGAAGAATTCTTTGTTTGAGAAAACTTTATACAAAGATAGCACACTCCCTATTACACAAAAACGTACATATATATACTAAGCCGTTGCACAATCTTAAGAAACGAAGCCTGATGTCCTGATTATGCAATACTGTGGCGTCACATCATATCCTAGATTCCTGCGCAATCTTACAACTGTTGTGAGGTTATTCTTTGGGGAAGTGGGAAAAACAAATATTGTGCGAGAGAGAGAGAGAGAGAGAGAGAGAGACAGAAGAATAGAAATGAAAAATATCCATCGAAGAGTGAACAGAAAGGGACAAAACCATTGAGTGAAGAAAAAATGTATATTGAAAGATGACAACTCTTGATATGATTTAATATGTGTTGTTTTATTAATAACAACAAAAACAGTTAACAGTGGTCCAGTTGCCGGTGGTATATGCTGTACTGGATGTTGTGCAGGAACTTTAGTTCTTCCAGGTGTTGGTATTGGAGTATTTGGTGGATGTGAAGTAACGTGTCTGACAACACTTGGCGGATTTCCACCACAGTGTATGTTATGCGCAGCTATATTTCTTGCGCCAACTCCATGATTTAACATTATTACGTTAAAAACATTCAAATCAAAGCAAAAAAACTGTACGGACAAACTGACTGTGAAGTTCAACCTATTTACGTTCTTTTGTTTTGAACCTTTTTATATGTATATATTAGCTTTTTGTACTCAAGCATATAGAAAATTTATAATAATATGATAGTATCATATTCGAAATCAGAATCAAAAACGGAGTCTAGATAAATCTGCAATTTTTTACAGAAATATAGCGAAGAGAAAGAGCTTTCGAATGATATATATAATAGTCGTGAGGATATGTAAAACTGGCAGAGACAGATCCAAAAATACGATCTATAATATATATCAGATGCAGCAGAAACTTAATCAAATTTGATTCGACCAATGTTTTTCTGAGAAAAAAAAGAATATTGAATATTGCGCAATAATATTGAAGGTTATTGCATTAGCCTTAGTCAACGAGATAGAACAGTTCTAAGATGGTGCAAGAGCCTAGATTATGACGTGACGTCACAGTAGTGCATAATCAGGACATCAGACTGCGGAAGCTGATCTTCAGGGTAGAAAATCTTTTTTTTGTATTTAACCCTGAAGAACGACTTGTATGAAGTCCGGCGTACCAGATTAAAATTAGAAAATTAAGTTGGAGTCCACTTTGGAAAACACGTCATTTATAGTGAAATAGCACAAAGTAGGCCAGAAAAATGGATTTTACCTTACTTTTCGCTTTGCCGCTTTCGCTTACTTCTAGTTCTTTTTAATTTTGCTGCGTCTTTTTTCCAGATATAGAATTGAAAGCAAGAACACTAAACTTTTGTGAAAAATCTTTCTGCTGAGCGCGAACCTTCTAAAAGGATACTGTTTATGTTGCGATGGTACCTTTGAGATAAAAGTGTGTAGAATGAAATTCTGCACAAATCTGAAAATCCTTAGAAGACATTCGATTTACCAAAAACGTTCTGTTTTCGAGATAAATCATTTTAATGTTTCCTTGAAAATTAACCTCTGTATAATAAGTCTTGCCACAACATTAGAACGTATACTACTCCGTTAGGAAAAATGCTTTTTCAATCGGAAGGTATGCTTTGAAATCTGTAGAATGTCATCTTTTCAAATCTTTTTCAGAAATTGTCTAGCATTTTTTGTTCAAAAACTACAGATGTTTCTTCGAGAGTGTTGAAAAATGAGTTTGTACAAGAAAGAAATAAAGCCCTTTTTTTTCAAGTGTTTGAGGTTTAATGAGAATAGTATTTGATTTTACTGTCTTCATAGGATACTAGAGCAGTACTAGTCCCTATTGAATGTACTTGAGATAAGTACTTCACTTGCGTAATGAAGCCGGTCCTTGTCTTATTTCCAGAGATAATTTACTTGTAGGTAAAGCGTTCGTTTATTGCCGAGGAAGACAGATGACGCCGGTTTTTCGCCAACAAGAAATAAGAAGAAGTAGCAACTAAGTAGAGTCAAGAGAAAATGGGAGGAAAACGATGACGTTCTAAATGAACTCGTTCAGTGTTTGTCTCAAAATCACAAGTACTTCATAGTAATAAAACCAAGTATTGCCGACTTGGAGAAATACTTGTAAAAGCACGCTCGGTAAAATACCACATTTTTGGACTATTCACTGCTGTTCGGTTTCCAGCTCCCGTCTCTGATTTCAGGACATCCGGTCTAAAAAATTTCGTCATCTTCTACAGTGTATTTTTTTCTAATACTAATCTTAGTTTCACAGTTTCATAAGCCACAAACACTGTAATAAATCACCATATCTACCGTCTGTCGCATTTAGTTCAAGGGAATGAATTCCATCAAGTGTTGTTCGGTAGGGTATTGGTGAAGGAAGAAACCATCGGGTAATACATCTCTTAAATTTGTTCTTAATTCACCACAACATGGTTCATCAATTCAACAATTTGTAAACAATATTGTAGTCGACGAACATCTTTTGCTTTCCATTGTTCATTTTGATCTTCCTGTTCACCTAATTTGATGTCCGGTGATAGATAATCAGTTATCACACCATAACTGTTGATAACTGTATTCCTCCACACTTCAGCTAAAATTTCCAAATAAACAGAATAAAAAAATACGAATACTAAACAAAACGGGTTCACAGTTCCATAGAAAACATTCGTTTGTTTAGATGCAATGAAACATAAAAACTTAAAACTTTACTCACCACTAGCTTTTGAAAAATTTTCTTGTTCTAAATCGATATCTCCAATTTTGTCACTGTCATCTGACGTGTGCACCAAAATAATCATTAATAATACGAACAACTAAATCATGTGGTAATGTGCTATATGACGTTCCGTTCGATTGTATGCTGAATAACCAAGTGCATTTGTTGAAACATATAAAGCATCTCATTTATTTTTAATAAAAAAAAAATACGAATAGAAACAGTGAGCTTCAGGAAAACATAGATTTTCATCAGAATCACCATCTGTAAATATATTGACAATCGGTTTAATTTCATTTTTACTTGTATGTGAAAACTGTTTAAATTCATCTAATCTTACGAGGGCACCTGTCGAGGTTATAAATCGCTTTTTGATCGAAATCTAGTGGGTTATAGGTTATCGACCATGCTGATTCCGAATATGATTATAGAAGCTGCCCATGATCGTTCGAAGATTCGATCTTCTGGAAAACTAGTTTTCCAGAAGCTCTAAAGAATAACCAAAGCCTCTCTTAAGGCGACATAATTGTAGCCCGCAAATTCTGATTAAAATGAGACATCTTCCAGCTCTACACGACCTTTCTTTGCAAAATTATAGAATTTACAAGAAAAGCCCTAAATGCTCAGAGCTACAGAAAAACGAAGAAATTAATTTAGGGCTTTTCTCGTAAATTCTATAACTTTGCAAAGAAAGTCGCGTAGAGGTGGCAGATGTCTCATTTTGATCAGAACTTCGTGGGCTACAATCGTGGCGTATTAAGAGAAAAGTTAAAGCCCTAAATTAATTTTTTCTTATTTGTGGCTTTGAGGATTTAGGGCTTTTCTTGTAAATTCTATAATTTTGCAAAGAAAGGTAGTGTAGAGCTGGGAGATGTCTCATTTTAACCAGAAATTTGCCGGCTACAATTATGTCTCATTAAGAAAGGTTTTGGTTACGTTTTAGAGTTTCTGAAAAAGTGATTTTCCAGAAAACAGAATTTTCGAACGACCATGGGCAGCTTCCATAATCATATTCGGAATCAGCATGGTCGATAACCTATAACCCACTAGATTTCGATCAAAAAGCGATTTATAACCTCGACAGGTGTCCTCGCTAGACATTTCAGTAAATGAGCTAAGTGACTAAAAGCTGTAGAATGATCATGTTTTCGGATCTTATAGCTATAAATGTTGATCTAGAATGTGATAATCGATCATTTCTAAATACCAGGGCGCCATAAAATACACGATATTCAAGGTACGTTAATACTTGTTTGTTTGCTGCTGGGAATCCTAGATTGATTCCTTCGCTACTGTTCAGCTTACTAGAAATATTACCATTTTTATAATTTAATGCAGCGGATACACAATTACGACGTTTTCTACGAAACAATCTCGAAAAATCGATAAATTTGTAAAAGATTTCAGATTTATCTAGAGTTCAGTGCAGTGTACAAAATGACATGTGTTTTAAATTGTTGTGGCTTTTCCATACCGAAAAGTTGTTCTAAAATTTGTTGTTGGAGATAGAAAAACAACAACTTGCATCAGAATGGCTATTTTTTTTTCATGTGTAAAATGAAATTGATACCGGGTTTATTCTGCATCTCCAGTAATTGCACTCGAATGAGCTGAAATTTTTACCATAGTTACACACATAGAATTCTGCAGAGTTGAATTTTTTTATCCCTCATGATGACGAATCTTACGTGAAAAACCTTTGAATCTAGAAACACTATTTTGTAAAAAGCAAAATACGCTGTATAATAATTTAACAGTATCAATATACTACTAAATTTCGATGATAGGACAAAAGCAGAATTTCTGAGAATATTTCGTTGTACATTCTACTGCTGATACTGTTACAGATAAAACAATAATCGATCAAGAAAAGTTGATGTTTACAGTAATAATCCCGAGATAGATTATGACGTTGAATCATTTATCTGTGTTCCCGTGACGCAATCTAGAGTATTGACAAATTGAATTAGATAGATCTTATTGGATTCTATTACAATGCATTTCTGTTTCAAACCGACGTTTCAGAAAATCACTATTGTAAACAGTAGAACTGGCAACTGTATATACATGTAAACCATTTCCCAAACTTATAACTATATTTTATGGACTTTAGTATCATTGACTCATGAACAAATCATGGATGATAGCTATAAGACATATAATTCATATAAACGCCCACCAATTGTGTGTAATATATAAAATAAGATTAATTCTCTTAAACATTGTAAATGAACAAACGTTCATTTTGAAACTTGGAAAACTTGACTATATACATAAGAGCAGAAAAAAGAAGCAAACTTAGTATCTTAATCAGCCACAGTTACATATGTGATGGAGAGATCATCTTCGAATTTTTTGACAATCTATTTCCATCTTATTACGATAGTTTTTGATTAAGGAAAGAGTGGCTACATTATTCAAGCTTAATGATCATGAAATATTTTTATGATAGTTAATGCACCTTTATTTAAAACAACCAGTCATAAAAAAAGGAAATAAACGAATATCAGCATTTTTAAATGAGTTAGAAGCATAAAACACAGAATGACTTTTTTACACAAATGGACAAAAAACAAGCATGATACTTAGAGTATCCTGATATGATCAGATCAGAGATGATTATAGTTTACAGAAGAGAAAAAAAAGAGACAAAGTTTCTCGGTTTAACGGCTAGTTTTTTTCATTTTAGTAATTTACTAAATTTTCGACTGATTTTTGTATATTTTTGAATAATTTACTTGGCGGTGAAACAGATTTTGCAAATCCAACGCGATTGTTACCAAAATCAAATTCAGTATACCCTAAAAATAAATAAAAACTCAGTTTATTGTTATTTTTGAAAGGTTTGATGAAATTACTCACATGGACCAATAAAAACATCACCAAGGATCCACAAAGGTCCTGCTGGAGGTCTAGAAATTACATGTAAAGTTTAGTGAGATATGACACACACTCAGAAAGGTTACGTACGGTATATCAATGCCTGCGAATCCTGATAAACAAATGGTCTTTCCGAATTGTGAAATGTTCAAAATGTATTGGGGACCGTCCAAGTAAAAATCATTTCCGCCAATGGTAAAATGGATACGTGGAAGACCAGCAACGAGACTACAGTCAATCATGTACTGAAAAGAAAAAGATGGTTAGTTACTAGCATCTTAATAACAGTCGACATCATCGCAAAAGATATTTTTCAGTTTTACTATTTATACTACAACCCTCACTGAATGTTCAACGTAAAATATATTTAGAATTTTAGGTGAAAAAACAATGTGCCTTGACTCGTGAAAAACTAAGAGTACCCTCTTTTTTGAAAAAATTTTCGATTTCAAGACTAATTTAGAGGATAGCCTGGGCTACAAATATAAGACCACCCGCAGCGCAGCATTCCATGATCTTTTTGGAAAAAGTTATGAGATTTTTAAATTTTAGCCCGAAAGAGTGAAAAACTCGATTTTTTGGTTCCATAAATTTTTCTCACCTTCTCAGTCGCTTCAAGGAGATGCTTTGCTCTAGTCTGATAGAGCAAAGCGTCTTCTTCATAACGAGACGTTTCACAAAATTTTCCAATCGGTTTTTAAGGAGATATAAACATTGCGGCAAATGCCTTGAAAAAACTGTCTTATTTGATGTTATTTGTGATACTCAAAAATGATAGTGGGTTCCAATCTAGGAGTATTACAACCATATCCAAGCTTCATCCGACCGCGCTCAAAACTTTACTACAGATACCTGAAACCACATCGCAAAATACAAAATTTTGTTTTTGATTTTGATTTTTTTCTTTCCAATTTATTGAAAATCAAAAACCGAGGTTTTAAACAGAGTTTTGACCATTTTGTTCATATTTCGAGAAGGACAAATTAATAGTAAAAAAAAAGCGTTCTGAGATATCGTGCCAGGCATCTGTAGTAAAATTTTGAGCGCGATTCAGTCTTGATAGGGTCGTAATATAAATGGATAAAAATCGAGGTCTTGCAGAAAACTTATAGAAGAACATGTCAAAGAATTATGAGTAAAAATGCATCGAGTGTCTTTTTTGATATTCTGTGTCTGATGTGAATTTGCAGTTAATTGGACGTTTACTCCCCGTTCTCCAACAAGGTGGGAAAAGAGGAGTAAGAATCCTTAGGACACCAACCGCTTACTTCTCCACCCACGATGGGTATAGCACCAATTTTCGAATTCAAACTTGCGATTTCATCACTTGGTCCAACCAAAAGACTAGTGCCAGTATCAGCAATTGCTACATAGAAAAGAAAACATTTTGATACAAAAACAGTGATGAACGATGAAAGAAAACGATATGTTACCTTGACAACCACCATCACAATATTTTCTATCACCCAGACTAATACCATCTAATTTGAATTGCCAATAATCTTTTCTTGTTACATCAACATAGGTAAATTCTCCTTCATACAATTGTGGATCGGAACCTCCTACAGATAAAACGAGATCTTGTACAAGTTCAAACAACTCAGCGTTACATACCGAAGATGATTTCACCACCACGTGGATTACTCGGATCTCTAAAAAGATCAAATGATTTTTTAAATTTGAATTACAACGTGATATGTCCGATATATTTCAGACCCTTTCGTTGAGAGCATACCGATCAAGCCAAAATGAAAAAATATTTTCCGGAACTAGTTTTTGGTCCCACATATTATTGAATACAGGATAAACACCGTCGACAGCTATGGATGGGTAAGCCAAGCCTAGTATACCTGAAAACAAGCGTACACACGTTTAGCTATGTAAACTAATCAAACCATCTCTTACCATCGAATTTAGCCGTGATGAACGTGATTCCAGGCTGTTTAGTTGCTTCAGCAAAACCTTGATGCTGAATTTTTGTCTCACCAATCTAAAATTACTATTGTTAGATCATATGTAAGATAATAGTGTCAAGCATAACTTACCGATACTGTATCAACACTCACGTAACCTTTTAGACTTCCTGTACCATATTGTATTGAAAAATCTGTTCCATTAGCTTCATATGTTGACGATTTAGATCCATCATATTTTTTATGAAGTTCTACAAACCAGAAACATGTAATAATGAAATATTCAAAAATTTACTCTTTTGCTACGTACGACAAGCTATATCAAGTAATGAACAATGAACAGATGGAACCCATAAATTAGAAGAACCGGTACTAAACAAAACAATAAAGTAGATGAATTAAATAGAATAAGTTTAAAATATAGTACACACTCGAAAACAACACGAAAGGATTGAGGAGGTGTGCCAATACCAATATCACCATAATATTGAGCCTTAACGATCAAAGAGCATACAGGTCATCAAATTTAAGATAAGAAAGATGGATAGATACTCACATCAAGATAATTGTTTAAACCTTCTGGAACTGGACCACCAATACCATATTTTCTTTCAAATGCACTTAAACGGTCGGATCCAACAGCTAATAATTGATTGTGAACAGATTCAAAATGATGTAGCCGAATCCTAAAACAATAATTTAACATAAAAGTACCGTCCTATTTGATTTTGTATCGTGGATGTACTGACCGTTGTAGTCTTGAAGAAACTGTCTGAAATACGATTAACAAGCATACTGCATACAGAATGCAATACGTTTTCATTGTTTTATTTTTTTCGAATCTAGAAGAGAACACAAACAACATGTACTAACTATTAACATAAAATATTCAAAAGCAAAAAAATACGTCTTATGTTTCACAATTAATTAGAGTCCGATACATCGAAAATGTTTAGACACGTGATCTTTTCTCTATCATAATATGGTGAAGCAAAACTGTGAGAAATAAATTTTATTATATTTAATATCTTTCCGTTTTTCTGTGTTATTTCTCACCAGTGGTTCTTTCAATCAAAACGGACCATCGTTCCTTCAGATGGTTTACGTAAACAGGATGAGATACGAAGTCAATGATCTATTTTTCAACATGTGTTTGAAAAAAAACCTGCATGTATGTCATGTATGTTGTTCTTGCTAGTGATGATTAATTATTAAAAGTATTGTATAACTATGTATTACACTTTAGACTAGTATATTCTTCTCGACCATTCTTCAGTTTCTATTTGCGTTTGAATAAAAAATAAAAAACATCGATAGCACCTATTACATTTATTTTCACATCATTCAGACAGAATTGCGATGGAATAAAACAAATAGTAGATGACTCATTCGTCAGTCACGCTCGATGCACACTTTTCCACAGAAAAACCAAAGATTATATCGGTCAACGATATCTATCTTTTTTCGTATGCTTAGCATTCATGTTAGTACAAGTTTTTAGAAGAAAAAGATTATGGTGTTCACTTAGTACCTAACTGCTATTGCTCGTCATACATAGAATCAATTGTCAGAAGATTACGAGTATCATACTTGTCCAGAAAAGTATCGCATATTCTTTTATCTATTTAAATTGTAGAAACTAGTTCACGAATATGTAGACTCAAATACAAAAATATTCTCCTATACAATTAGAATTTGACCTTAAAATTGTAGATAACTGTCTACATAATTATCATCAGAATTGTTCTTATACAAAATCAAAGAAAAGAATTTCGTATAAATAAATTTGTTTTTCAACCGCTGTTACTTAAAGAAAAGCTCAAACAATGGAAACTTGAACTGATCCAACACTCATCAACAAACAAAGTCGAGTCTAAATATCAAAATCAACGTCCGGTGACTGTTCGATTATAAGTTCCTCAAAAAAAGGTAAGAGTTTAGAAATAAATGCAATATCCTACGTAGAATAAACAACATATAGTTCGACAGATGTTTTTGTTTTATTTCTTCGTCAAATAAACCATAAAACACGATATTCATAGATTTAGTTTCGTCTCCACCTAATTAATGAAAAAACGCCTAGTACTTGAATTGACAATTGTGATAATTGGTAGGATTCCAGAAATGAACTATTTTTAATATACTTCAACTTTTTTTCTCGAAGTTTTGGAAAAAATTAGTTAGCATTAAAAGGCGCTTATGGTAACGAAAACATTCATACAAGTGGAAAATCTACTTATATTTTTTTAATGTTAACAGCTACCGAATTGACCCTGCAAGTAGGACAACTTATTCCACACGATCAATAAAAAGTGTACAATAACCATATATCTATCTACAGTGCATCGTTAACAAAAACCTTCAAGTGAGAAAAAGAGAAATTTTTCTCGCATAGAATATATTTTTTCCTTATTTTTTAAACATACTATCCTGATAGCTAAAATTCTTTACAGCGAGACAGCGTAAAAACAATGCAAAATAGGAAACGAGGTGTTTAAAAAAAGCACCAGAAATCAAACAATAACAACAGTGTGTAACGAAAGCATTCATAATAAAAAATATATGATCGGTAAAACGTATAACACAAATCGAGATTATAAAACTAAAATTGGAAACAAAACTGTTTATGATCTTGAATAAAAACTTTATTGATTATTACAATTAACCATATTCGTTCATATTTCCCTACTAAACAATTCAACGAAGTCTACTACAGAACAATAAACTTAACATTTTCTGCTCCACAATCGTGTTTGAATGACCTTACGTTATTGGCATATTTAAGAGGCAAAAAATCTGCAGTTTTAGTTAATAGCGCTGATAAGAAAGTCGTCTTTTGACATCATTTGTTGTTAACACAATAGATCTTCGTAATAATGTCTTTCGATCGTGATTGAACGAACATTTGTATCAAAACTAACTTTTAATAACAGTTTGAAATATTTCATGGTCGTGAACAATCGATATCATGACCATTATAGAATTACTAAATTTCGTTAATTGATAAATGGTACATAGATATGTAACATTTTTTCACTATCACCCAATTGTTTATTAAAAATAATTATCCATCGTTGGAATTTCGAAAATATTTTTAAATAAAACAATAACGAGTTATTTTATGTAATAATTGCGATTTTATTTATTGATATAAAGTTGAAAAATGCTAAAACGATGTGCACGAGATAAAACTTTTTTTATACATCATTCTTTACTATTATATAATTTTCTGATTTTTCATTTCTTTAGGCCTATGAATGAGAGCACTTTCTTATTCTAAATAAGAAATATTTATTGTTGATATACACATCGTTCTGGTGTTTTTTTGTAGAATCATAATCGATAACTAGATTCATATCTACATCAACGTACATTACAAGACTAGTAGAATCAATTTTACTGATAGACAATTGCTTCAATTGTGTACAAATATCAATTTCTAGAAAATTGTTCTCTTTTACTATGAAATTTCATTATTCATCCGATGTGTGAAGAAATCTAAAACTTATTTAAACGATAATCATGAAGACGCTTAGTCACTTCCTTCCTACTCCTTGAATGACATGTATAGCAAGACATAAATAAGAGAGAAAAAGTAGAGATGGAGATTAAGCTTCATTTAACTAATAAGCAGCAGTACTCTGTGTTTGAGTTTATTCCGAACAAATCAAATGCTCTCTACTTCAACATATTTTAACTCAGCTACAAATGACTTAATACAGGCACTATGCGAGACGTATATACTTAAGATTGCTTGAATTATAAATGAAATCAAAAAGAAAAAGAGTTTTTTTATTACCAATGTTTTTACTCGAACAAATTAGAATATTTTATGATTAGTCTTTCATTTTAACTACTCAAAAATGTATTATTATGCTGACGTATACGGATGTTATACGATCAGTTATAAACATACATTTGCAATTTTATAATGGGATATTCCTTCAAAAAAACTGTTCGAAGAGAAAAGCTATTTGATATAATAGACTCTAAAAATTCTGCTTAAGTAAATAACTTCTATGACATGAGTAAAATAAAAGTAAACAAATATTTATTTTCTACACGATGTTACTTATTTTTATTGAAATCAAAAACTTAGACAAGTTTTTTTTATATAACAAAACAAGAACATTATTTTGTTGTTTTCCATTTTATAATTTAAGTTTTGTTCTTCGCCAATGACGTCTCTTTGAATTGTATCGTATTTTATTACCGGTACGCATACGAATCTTAAAAACATAACACAAAACAATATTGAATATAATTAATTGTAAACTTATGATTGTACATACCCATTGTGGAACGGGTCTATTTTGCTTTTGTTTCTTAGCAAGGACCTTTTTTATTTTCAATGTCTTGTGTGCAGACATTATTGTAGATATTCAATCCTACACAAAAAGAAAAATACTATACATATCATGATTATATGTTTTCCGTGTCTTGAAAAAATTCTTCCAATGTAAAAGACTCTCAGCGAAAACTTGGTGATATAATTCCACACAAATATTTTCGGATAAGATGCAGTTATCATCATAGAGCACATTTACAGAAAATTGATATAGCAGTGATCGAACTATTGTGCTTCATATTTAAAATAAGACATAGATGTTTACCTAACTTGATTAAATTCGACTCAATAAAGAGTTGTACGCACCAGCACAATTTTTTATATCTAAAAGATAATGAAATTGAACAAATTATGTAATCGACAGGTGTGTTTGTTGTATTATTAAATGTCTTTGTTCATGGGAAGCATGCTATTTAGACTGAAAGCAAATGATTCTTTATCTTGCACACAAATAAAAGGGAAAATATTGCATTTTACACAAGTCTTGAGCTGGTTGGTGGGCATACCCTACTATAAGTATTACAGTAAATCATTATTTCTTCTTTCTTCTCACAGCTGTAGAATTGTCGAAGTTTAGATTTGCAAAGTTCTTAGTCTTAAATTCAAGCACCTGCTGTCGTACGTTTACATTATAATAGTTATTGTCTATTCGATTACACAGGGCATATCGTAGCTAAACTTTCTTTTTTCAGAATTTCTCTAGCGTAAACGATACAAAAAGTAAGCGTAACACAAAATCTTATTACACAAGAGTTCGTATAGCAAACACAACACTAAAATCAAACTCCAATATACCTTCAAATAAAATGAAGAGTATGTGTAATGGAAATACCCAGCGAAACTTATCGAAACAAGTCCTCCCGTTAAAAAATATTTTTATAGTAGACGTAGAATAACAGTTCGACCGAAACCTAGGAAGACTGGATGAAAAACAAATTAATTTCTGCCTACTAAGGCATGATTATCAGGAGCATACCAGTGTTTTGTTTAATAATGGCCACAATCAAACTTTGTCGACGACTTCTCCTGAGAGAATCGACTATACTCAAATTTGATTGGGCGAAGCATTCATAGTTAGACGGTATTATTATCTCTAGACAAAAACACAATGAAAATTATTAATATGCAGATATAAGTCATCGTTGGTAGAGGACGTTTTTCATTATCAGATAGTTTTCTAAAGTTGATTGCTTTTTCCCTCAAGTTTTCAATCTAACTGTCGCCAACTCGTGATATTTTGATAGTGGTCGATAGTGTACGGCCGAAAAGACTCACGCAATCTCATAGAATGAAATCAATAAGAACATAGATGTTAACATCTTTGTAATTACCCGTTAAATTAATACAATAGTATATCAATGAGTGAGTTAGCCAATGTACTTTAACGTTGTCACACACATACATATACATTGACACTTGAGACGGATGAGTCATATCATACCTGTTTCTATAGGGTCAAATGAACATCATCTGCGATTGTTTTTTTATTGACATTGATTAGTTAATGTTAATTAACTGTAATAGGTTAAAACAAAAGTTAGAGTGAAGATAGTTCTGCTGCCGATTTTTAGATTCGGAAAAGGTGGTATGAGGTAGACGAAATCTCTGTTATTGAAGTAGCGAAATTTGATCCGATCTCCACGCAACGAGTGATTTACTTCTGATAAACATAACTAACAAGAAAAATATGGCGATTTGAGTAGGTTGATCGAACTGTGGTATAAGAAGAGTGTTTATAAATAGCGATTTGAAAAACCTTTAGATAATAGAAAGCTGCTCAAGAGATGATAAACTTCGTCATATTTTTGTTCTAGATAAGTTCAGTGAACAGATATGACGTCAGCTGATCATCATAATCATCACCGTTCTCAACAGCAGAACGATTCTGGTAGCGGTGATAATAAAAAAGATGTAGAGATCGATTCCGGTATGTATGTTATTTTTTCATCGTTAATTAAAAATAATAATTATTAGTCATTTTTTCAGAATTGCTAGAACTTGAAACAGCATTGAATGATATTGAAAAAGCAATGGACAAAATTGAATCACAAAATGAAAATATTCAAACAAAACTACGTGATTTATTAGAATCAAATAGACAAATGGCGAAAGAATTTACAGACATTCGTCAAACAATGAACAATAAATTGAAAGATGTTTCCTATGAATTAGAACAAGCACCCCATATTGCTCATGATTTAGCATCAAGCACAAGTAGTACATTGACGAAAATTGAAAATGAAATGTTAGATCATTAATCAACAAAATAACGAATTAACAGTTACTCAGTTTTTTAATACACTAATACGTTCCATTTTTTTCTTTGTTGTGTTGCATTTATCTGTTCTTTTCTCTTTTATCACTCATTTATAATTCTATTTTCTTTTTCTGTTTTGAAATAATAATTCTCGCTCAGTGATTAAAGTTTAATCTAATACTATCTTACGCTGGCGAGTTGTAAGATAAGATTTGAATCAAAACGACTAGAGAAAATAGTATGAGTGTTCATTTTCTTTTTTGTAAGTGTAAAGATATTTTTAGCTAGATAATCATAGTTTAACTTCTGTCTTTTCATTCTTCTTTCTGAAGGCGATAAATTTGTTTGTTTTTCTTTGAAGACTTGCGATTTGTTGTCTTGACTCAACATTCATCGTACTGATCCTTTTTTCGATTTGAAAGATAGAACAGTATCTTAAATTTGTTCTGATTATTCAAACAAGACTACCTTTCGAAGACCAGTAGTTTGAGCGAAAAAGTTGATGAAATAGACATCAAAATGACAACTAGAAAGCTACAGTACTTTCGTCGGATATATCGGTAGACTTGTCTGAGTGCCTTTTTTCTGTTTGAATTTTTTGAAGCTATTGTTTAAATAATCTTGAGTAGATGACATTCTGCCCTATATGAAAATTTTTTCTGTTCTCGAACAAACATTGATTAACCAATTTTAGAAAATCTCATCTTAACAATTATGTTACGAAATGTACCAATGAAATTAAATTTATTCTTTAATCAGTCATTTCAACGACAAATAGCCAATCGATTTTTTAGTTCACAGGGTGTGCAGGATATCGCCGGTTTTAAGTCACTAGCATCGTCAGAAACATTACGAGATTTTACTTACCCACAAGGTATTCAAGGTGCAATTGAATCCGACGATGCATTTTACCAGACATGGTTATTGAACTGTAAGATGTATGGTTATGAAAACTGCGAAGAAAAATTACAAGAAATGATAACACAAAACAAGGGTAACAAATTGACAATATAGAATGACGATATGTTGTATCAATGAACGATGTCAAGATATGCACCATATACATCTGAAATATTGTATTTAAATTTTTATTTTTATAACCCAAAATTTCTCGATAGTAGAAACTCTCAGACTTTTATAATCTTGTTTTTTCGATAAAAAAAATAAACAATAAAAGAAGCTTTTCTCATTTCTTTGTTTCGATCAGGTTTAAGCTTTCTTAATATGAACGAAAAATATTCTGCTAACCTTTTTTTACTATTATCTGAAGAAATTCACGAAACAGTGTATAGTTCAAATGGCGAACTTTTCCAGCTGTTTAGTCCTAATTTGACTGCAAGTTTGAACTTATTATTAGAAATGAACAGTTAATAGAACGTGTTCGTAAGAAGAATGGCTGATTGTTAAAAATAATATTTTTATTATTTCTTTCTTTTTTAGATGAATAGACCAAGTGTCAAAAACATCGATACGCGACGTGTTGTAGGTAGTGGTGTGTGCTTATATTTTTAGATTTTATATCATGTTTTCAATTTTTTTCATACATTTTTTGTTTATGTGAAAAATTTAGACTCAAGAACTATTTACGTTAACATACGGAGCATTTGTCGCACAACTTCTCAATGATTATGAAAATGTTGATGAAGTAAACAAACAATTGGATAAAATGTCAGAAATAATTCTTATTGTCACTTGTTCTATCGTCAAAATGACATTTTTTCTCTTGTAGTGGCTACAATATTGGCGTTCGATTAATCGATGATTTTTTAGGTAGAAATCCTAATATTGGACGTTGTGTTGATTTTCGAGAAACAGCTGATGTGATTACTAAGGTAAACAACATGAAAGCAAAATTTGTTAAGGGCCTTTCCCCTCAGGAAGTCGATGTTTTCTTCAAACCCTTCGAAACTGAAGTAACCATACGGTTCAGTATCCCAAAGTGTCATCTTTTAGAATCCATCTTAGTTTGCCAAAAATTCAATGTTTTGGGAGGATTTTGAAAGAGATTTCTGAAAGCCCTGTAAATCATCTTTTTCTAAATTTCACATTTTAATTAAAAATTTTAAGATTGTCCGTTTTAACAGACATGGAGCTACGTTGAGCAGAGTGTTCTGATCAGAATGAGATATCCAGCAGCTTTGTACGACTTTGTCTTGCAGAGTTATACTAGTTTTGCTAAAGGCGCTGAACTATAATTAATGACATGATGACGTCATTGCTTAGAATACGGTTTTGTCGCAGTAAAGTTGTAATAACTTCTAGACGATTCGTCGTAAAACCTTCATTCTTTTTTTATTTTGAAGCTAAGATATTTATCTAAACTTTAATCCGCGGTGATTTTTGTCTTCTGTGCAGAGATAAGTGGCAAATACTCCGCCGAATTAGGGTTATTTTCAGTGGTCTGACTTAAAATATGTGTAGGGAATGAACAGAAGTGAAATTCAAAAATCGCCGCGCATTAAATTTTAGATTTAGATGTCTACTTTCATTTGAGGCCTCTCACAGCTTTCTGCACCTTCCAACAAAAAAGTTATAACGCTTTTGGTAAGAGCCTCATTTTTCCCCTTGTCACGCAATAACTCGGCAGCGCTGCAACGTTTCAATTTCAAATTCGTAGCATAAGCTCGTAAGACAGGAAGCATTAGTCACTGAAAGCGCCATCGAAATCGGATATAAGATAAAAAAGTTTTTTCCTGAAGGAGGGGGCTCCTTAAATATTCATGTTCTATATCCATTTTAACAAATTTTAGCAAGGATTTAAAACTTATTTGGGTATTGTACCAACTATTTCTAATTGGAGTACTGGAGGTGATGAATTTTCCCTCTTACTTGATGGTAATCCATTAACTGAATTTGTTGAATTACCCGAACAAAGTTCTAAATTAAATTATAATCAAATGATATGTGGTGCAATACGTGGCGCATTGGAAATGGTAAAACAAGCATTTTAAATTATCAGATTTATATTTCATTATATTATTTATGTTTTAGGTCCAATTAGAAGTTGAATGTCGATTTGTACAAGATCAACTGAAAGGTGATAATATAACAGAATTAAGAATTAAATTTATTAAACTTTTAGAAGATGCATTACCCGTAGGAGAAGATTAATGATCAAATTATCTTTAACTATTTTATATGATTTTCTATTTTGTATGCATAATTGATGTATGTAATAATGTTTGTTTTTTTGCATTTTGCTTTTTTGTACACGATGATGTTTATCAAATCTTACGATAATTTCATAAACAAGATAGAAATAATTCCAAAAATTGTTGCTTATCTCTTTTTTCTCCCTCTTATTGTAAAAGAGAACCATAGGATTTTATCGTTTTATACAACTTTATGTAACAGAAAACGTATTTGCTAATTTTAATTGTTGTCTTACGTATTACAGTAAAATTTCCATACAAATTCTCTTTCTCAACTGTACGCAAAAAAATGAAGAGAATTTAACAATCATATAAACATTCGATTTTACATAACTGTATTTGTTGAAAATGAAATGAATAAATCTATTATAATAGGAAAATACATGAAGAAAAAAGACTGGTAAAAAAGTTGAATATGAATAAAACTAAATGGTACTGTATCCTATTCTTATTCAATAACCAAAAGGCATTGTTTTTCATTGTACTATTTTCATCTTTTGTTGAGACAATATAATCAATTGATATTTGTTTTAAAATAGCTATGTCAGCACAGCTAAAAATATAAATTTTAATGTTTTAAAAAATGATATAGTGTCAGATAGATAATATTCTTACTTGTAAAATTCTTCTTGTTGATCGGAGCATCCTCGACATTTTCGTCCAAATTTATCGTTGCCCCATGTATTCCCAGCATGATATTTCCATTGAAGTACACAATGTTTACATGTCAGATTTTCTGGTAATTGAACAAGAACATAAAAATACGATTTATCTCCATGTGGTAAATGATATTTTGTCGATGACAAATCATTGCCAATGTCAAGTAAATATTGATCAAGACATTCGTGTGTTAATCGTGAACGAGGATCAAGTAATGGACAAAGACGAAATTCAAAAAATCCTAAATGATTTGCTGTTATATCGACGGTTGTATTGATAATAGAACCGGCTTGATAAGTACGACCTATAATGTCGGTAGCATATTTTCCGCCTTGTTCATGTTCTTTCGGACCCTGCCATGGATCACCACACACGCCGCATTTTCCATCTTCTATCTTCCATTGATTTTCCATTCCACCACAATAGTTCGAATTATCATTGTAATTCGGAGGAACATCAAATCCAAACCGCCACATTGAACCTGTAATTTACAACTATGATGATTTTTAAATCAACGCTTTCTATTCTAGTCAACGTTATTTGAAGGAGAGTCGTGAATTTTTGATATGTTGTAACTTATGTGCTATGCGAAAAAGGAAAATATCGCCGATTGTTGGGGATTTTTCCAGCTACCAAAAGTAGATAAAAAACCGACAGTAAACTACCGTATTCCGACGCTATTCATTATAAAATCGCCCATGTGAGATCATGTCAAATGATATACACTCTTAAATTTTTCCAGAGAAGTACTTACCGCAAAACAAAAAGTCATTGTGTAAGGTTTAATTTCAGAAAGTTGAAACTTAAAATTCGAAAACTTTTCATGAAATTAAAAAATACAATTCGTTTATTTTCTTGATCATTATGGATCTCTCTTTTATCCCAATCGTTTTATTCAGATATTCTCATCGAGTGTGCTATTTTTTGTAAAAATATTTTCAAAAATCAGCATTGAAAATCCCACACTCAAATCTTTAGTTTTTGATCTTCCCATTCTATAGAGCATGCGAAATGGCCTTTGACCTGTAAGTATTAGGCTTTTTTATCAAGTCACAGAAGAAACAATATTTTACGTATATTTGTCCTATAGTCAAAAAGTCTTGTTCCAAACCACAAATAGTTGAACATATCCTTTGAAGTTGAAGTTTTGAACAATAAACTAATGCTAGATGGAACTCTTCAGGTGTCATATGACTCAGTTTTTAAAGGTGAAGTCATTGACTAGTAGTAAGCGAACTATAACCTACAGTTATGATATAATTGAATAAAACTTTATCTTTAACTTCATGTAACGAGGTATCATCTACAACGAGAGTACGTATGTGAGATGGCTAATTCACTCTTAAGTGGTTGTAAATAACTTACAACAAATTTTGCTTTTTACCTCTTCCCGGCGGGTCTAGCAAACGTCCATGCGCTTTACAATAACCAATAAAAGACATAAACATAATCACAATGTAAATAGTTTTGAAAAAATTAGAATTTATTTTTATGAATTGACAAACAGCCATTTTAATTTATAAAACATGTTAAAAATAATTGATTTAAAACACTATGAATAGAAGATACTACATCGCTATGTTTATTTTATGTTGAACTTGAACATACATAGTGATTTGTTCTATATGTTTAAATAAGAATCGAAAGAATAAATCTTCAGTACCCACAAAATAAATTAATCCAGCTTAGTCATTTGTTGAACAATGTTTGAAAATAGTGGAAACAAAAACATCTAATGAATTTAACCTAGATACATAAACATTACTTTAATTACAAAGACTCGCAACATTATGAACCTTGACGAATGTTATTGAACTATTTATTCATCTTTTATAACACAAAGGTATCAGTTATAATCAACATTACATTTTTTGAAGCAGGTGCAGATAACTGGATAAAATGTCTTGTTGGAAATTCGATATCATAGCATGGTGGTATCAGATTCGGCCTCTTATACTACTCCGTAAAAGTAGTGACACACCTGTAACTCAAGAATCATGGTAGTTACGAACTTAAAGTCTTCCTGAAGTAGTCATAGCTCTCATCGAATGCTGATCATCCCACCAGTATCGGGCTTTTTTAATAGATGGTTCGTGAGATATAAGCGTTTCATTTCTTTTCTGTAAAATGCTAATAACTTCTGATCTAAGAGAGATGAAAACGTTTTC